CCCTTCATTCGATCTTTGATTGTAAGCAGGGGAGATTCCCAGTAACGGGTCACATGAGCCTTCTGATATCTGAATCAGCGCTTCTTTTTGTTGGGAGTAATTCCATGCGCGATGATCCCACATGGATAATGTGATTATTTTACGTTCTCTCTGAATTTATGAAAGCTTAGGTAGGCCGTCTCCCAAGAGGCATAGGATGAACGGCACCAAATTACCGGTGGTAAGTGCTCTTGCTTAAGGAGTAAGAATCAGTAAACTGTGCCTAAACCAGCATCCATGCTCCATAGTTGAAATTAGCTTTGCCCATGGGATGTTCAGTGTGTGCGCCACAAATCTGCCGTTTGAAGTGAAGTCGCCATCTTGTTTGAGGTGCTCATGTTCCGTGCCGGCTCGCGTTTCGAAGGTCCCAATCAACATGGTCTTGTCCACTATCTGCGTGATTCCGTGGGAACGGATTCGGCGAACTACCCTGGTCTCAGTCTTATCTGGAGCTCGGCTGTTAGCGGTGGACGTGTCGTAAGTCCTTTAACTGGGTATGTGTCGCAATTGATCGCAAACATGTTTATTCGCAGAGTGCGTTCTCGACGCGTGATGTCTATGGTGTATCACTGGCTCTGCCCAGAGACGAGTCTTCAGTGGGTATTTCGATTCTTGGCCACATTGCGCAACCAGCGTTCAAGCCGTGGGAGATTGAAGATGTGAGTGGAACTTCAGATTCAGTTTCTCCTCATCAGTTTGTTATGGAAAGATCAACTGAAATCCTTATTCAGCAAACGCTGCCAGCCCTCAAGACTGACAATGCCTACAAGCATCCCTATAATGTGGCTTACGAAGATCTGCATCGCGCTGCCTACCGCAACGGACCGCTAGCACGGTCTGTGTATGCTCCAAAGACTTCCATTGGCAAAATAAGTCACAAGGCTTTGGCTGATTTTGCTGTAAGTGTGAGAATCATTTTCCCGAGCAACTTTAGTACTCAATTAAATCAACGTAAGCGTCCTAGGCCAAGCATCTTACAACTGGACAAGCAGTACTGTATGGCATGAACATTGAACATGAGCGCATGGTCCTTTATGGCGACAGTCACGCTCCCATTGCCAATGGGCAAAAAGTCGATGCCGTTGCAAGCCCGTACAAGGTATGAGTTGGCTTGAAATGTTCTTGCAGGACACAAACGATGTTATTTTAAGGGTGGAGAGTGGCGTCGTCCTGCTGGTGGTCCCATGGCCCACGTATTGCTGGCTGGTGCAGGAGCTCCGCTCAGCGATGCCAAAGCGATGGCTACACAGGCAGTTCTGCTTGCCTCCCTAGGGAGATCGGCCGCTGTTCAGTGAGTCATGTTGTCGTTGTAGTGAACTATGACATCCTTTAATTGGGTGTATCATTCAGGTTCTCCGGTTCTGCGGGAAATGCTGCTGTTCTCCGCGCCGTTGCTGGTACTTGTGGCGCATCAGCATTCCAGGCCGCGTACGAAGACACTGGTCTCGTTGGTGTTTACATCGTCGCCGATGGCGCTCACGTTGCCAAAGCAGTAACATCCGCAGCTTCAGCAATCAAGAGCTACAAGTGCAGTGATCTCGAAGGTTAGAAAGCCCAAGCTTCGCTCTTCTTTTTCAGTCTTAAATTAATTCTCGGTTTCTTTAGCCGCCAAGCGACGCGCAACTAATGATCTGCTCCGGGCTACTGCCCACTCTCATCCAACCTCCATCGAACGCGCTACTCAGATTCTTGCTGGACTCACAGCTGAGGGCGCGATTGTTGAGGCGATCCAACAGGTATGTTTCGCTTGAAAAAATATCGCGGCATTTCGTTCATGCTAAGTACCGTTGACATTGTTCAGGTGACGGCTAGTGACGTTGAGGCAGCGGCAAAGAAACTTTCGAGCAAGTTCTCTTTATCCAGTTACGGAAACATCGATGAAGTTCCATATGTCGACTCGTTGTAGACACTGCGTAGCAGTTGTAGTAGTCGGCTGATCTTTACGTCGGAGGATTTTCGGCCACCAGGCCACTAGAATATAGAGTTTTTGTTTATCTACGGTGTCATCGTTTCCGAAATAAATATTGTTTTGAGTCTTTTGTTCAAAGATTTTCAGTGTTGCTGACAGTTTACCGTTGCCTTTTTGACACAGTGAGCATATTGTGATGACTGCGGCACGGGTTTGAAATAATGTTCTTTATTATTTTTCCAGTAGTCTGTTATGAGCCAGCGCAACGAAGATGAACAGGGTAAGCCTCTCGACCCTCCAAACGATGGGAATGCCGCTGCGGAAGAGAAACCGACGCAACAAACGCAAGGTTTTGAGGTGAAATAGTTTTTTTTATCGCTTTCTTCTTTTTCTTCATCATCTTCAGATCTTTTTTACTTACCGCCTTGGTGATTTCATTGATTTTTCTAGCCGGTTTCTCTCATTTAGGGATTCACGTACAATGAGGATGTGCTCAAATTTGAATTGCCGCCACTGCCTGATCCTTTACCGAAATGTAAAGCTGCCCTGGAGAAGTTTGTAGTTCCAAAAGAGGTTGGTGATGTGGTCATCGCTTTTCCCTGCATTATCACTTTTCTGGGCTCGGATATCGTCTCGATTTAGCTACGGGCGATCGATGTGACCTATAGACTATCGGGGCATAGAAGTATAAAAAGACGTGTGTAGTATAATTTAGAGCTGTATTTGTTCGTGGAGTGGAAGTGCTCGAAATTGACGGTGGTCACGTGGTTAAGAGGCACAAATTGTTGTCTATTGTGAGCGTGCGTACAATAAGTAATAAGAAAGAATATACTACGACACACTTCTACGCAACCACCACTCTCCACCGTAAATAGGAGCTGCATGAGTAGTGACGGGGGATTACGTAGCCTGTGCTCATGTTGTGTGGCACAGAACTATCACCGTTCTGTTTCTCTTACTCGAACTATCACCGTTCTGTTTCTTTTACTTCCGATAGCGAATTTGATTTCAGTCTGATTTGGTCCGGCGGTCTTTTATGCCTCTACGAACTCACCCGGATCATTTCATAGAGGTCTATTTTGAGAATGTAACAGAGACCGGCAAATCACGCTTGCCTTGGGAACTTGTGCGACCTGCGTTTTTATGGAAAGTTAAGGTAAGTCGTGGGCAATGCACTTTAGTTCCTATCATATTTCGAAACTTTCATATAGTTCAGTATTTTGTTGTTGGTATTTTTTACGTGGATATCATAACCATATGCCTTACTACTTGTCGCTTCACATCTAGTTCTAAAGAATAAGTTACAAGTCAAAAAAGTCGCCTTGGTGCACGCCACTTCACGTTCTAGTATAGCAAAAGCAGCTCCTCACTGTTTGGACGTGAAATTTGTATTAATCTTAACGTTCACATTTGACGTTTTTCATTAGATGTTAAACTGACTCGTTTATTGTGTCACCATCATGCTTTCTTGAAACCATTTGTTTCAGTCATGTATGGACGAAATGGTGCGGTGGCATCGACAGCGAGAAGGACCTGATTCAGTCGATTTGAGTGAGGGTTCTGAAAACAAGCGAATGTACGATTTTATCTTGGAGAAAGCTGCTAAATTCGAGGCTGCACCGTTTACGTGGCAAAGGTTAGTTGTTATTGCGGCTGTAAGCTTATTATTCCCATTGCAAGTATATGAAGATACTTTTGAACTTGAATTAGATCGGAATGTTAAGATTTTTTAACGGTATTTATTTCGAAGTAATATCCAATTTCGTATAAAACTCAAAATTGAAAAGGAGTATGTCGGCCTCATCAAAATCATCTCGCTCGTTGTTGTCGTATGCGCGACATCAGCGTGAGAAGGGGTAGGTACGCAGACACGCGAGGTAGGAGGCGTTTATATGAGTACACATGTGAAAGTGATGTCTCCTGACCAGAGAAGTTGTTTAGGCCGTTAAGCGCTTTTAAGAGCGGTTCTCGTATGTTATTGGGGCATTTCCGTGAGCACAAAACATGATAATTCTCCTGAGCGCCCCTGAAATTGCCAACGGTAGAAAACTTCACTCAGGCGATGAAACTTTTACATCGTTAATAAGCTCTGGAACATTTGTAGCGTTGAATTGTTCCACATTGGAAGGTTTTGTTCGGTGATGAGTTTAGGCAAAAATGAGCGCAGGAAAGTGGAAATCAAAACAATGCAAAGGCTTGCTTAGTGAGGGTCGAACCACAAGCCATCGTTCCCATTTATTTTTCCGGCATTCCCGGAGCCGCTTAGAAAAAGAAATGATCTTAATTTAATGCTACCCCCGCGTGCTCCTTTTGCATGCAAGAATCCGTTTCAGAAAACCTTTGGTTGGTTAGCATCTAATAAATTCATTGGGTGAAAACGTACTGGGCATGCTAACAAATAAGCGCGATATCATCTGTAGAGTAACATGGCTATCTGCCATTGTCATAGTAAATTTGCCTTGTTCAAATTCTATCTTTTTAACTACGTTTAAATTTAGCCCTTTGTTATATTATGCAGAAAATTTCTGGTTTATTCAAGTTCTGGTAAATCAAAATCTGGTACAGAGGTTGTCTAGTTGAACTTTATCTTCCTCTACGAAGAATTTCGCCTATTTATAAGCGAGACTATTTAGTAATTTTACGTTAGGTCAGCTTCATTCACAGCAAGGAACGATGTTTCAGAATTTGCGAACTGCTTAATTCTCCATCTCGGCATTACCGGAAAGCTGATAAATACTTCCGAGCGCTGGATAAGACGATAAATGTGGTGACCACAGTGTCTGAAGATGGACGACGAATGACTGGCAATCCTCAATACATCTCCGAAACGCCGGACGTTTATAGCATTGAACAACTGTTCTTTGGGGTTCGTTTTTATGCATGCTTCTTGGTATTATCATTACTGAAAATGGGAACTTGTAGAGGGGAGTGTTAGAGTGGACGGGTCGTCAGTTCTGACGTTACTTCTTGTAGGACGAACGCCCTGACTGCGATTTCTGGGATCCAGATTTCGCCTACAATGCGGTATGTCTCCTATACATATCTATTGTTAGAATGGGTTAGGTGTGTAAAATGGATCAGCTACCATCTCGACCTAATAAGAAGTTAGTGTAACAATAGGAGACAGTACTAGGGTTCTATGGTGGACCTGGGCATAGTGGAAACTAGTGGAAGAAAGCTGTTGTTTCGTTGTTTACAAAAGGAGGAATAAGTGCTATAACGTAGCACATAAGTAGGGGGGACTTGCAGTAAATCAGCATTCCAGTTAGATGGCACTCGTAATATAGATCAAACTGTGATAACATTCAGGACTGACTTGGAATAATCTGGAAGCAGTCTCTACGTCCATTTACCGTATGATCCATGCTCCCAGCCGGGAGTGGGTCCCCATTTCAGTGTGTTTTTCATCTGGACATGGGTGAGGAACAGCCAGCGTATATTAATGGCCATTGATATATCTGCCAAGTGCAATTAGAGCAAATCTTTCAGCCTCGCGTGCATTTTATTTGGGTGGTGGTGGAAGATGACTATGGAAATGGTACACTATGCTCTGATTGCAAACATTCCTTGCATTTTTCGCGAAAATTGTGAAGAAACGCGTCAAAAACGGCCTTCCTTACACCATTATGATACGACCCATCAACTGGTGACACCCGACCCTTTGAGTTTTACAAATGCGACCGACCCATCAGACTAGACATCAAAATAGTGGTTCGGAAAATCTTCCAAGTGGGCTCAAGTGCCCCAACTCCCTGACACATGGCACTGAAAAATCATGCAAGGAGAGGTGAGTTCGTCGGCCTGACTAGTTGCAACAAGGTGCAAAGCGATGTATGCCTCATTCAATGCTGAGCTCAAACCTGTTTTCAATATCTGCCGATCTTTTGACGTAGCATTAGTGATCCGAACTCACTTGCAAATGGTCTTGAGAACAATTTCTACGCGAGCTTTCTCTCTGCTCTTCTCACAACATTTCTGGAAATGCATTAGACATCGTTACTGCGTCAACGCTTGCCTCTACATATAGGTTTATATGTAAAGTTTACGAGCATTCCCCAATAAATTCCGGCACTACTCATTCACCCCTGATTGCCTTTTTCGAAGTCAGATCAGAATCTCTTTTAATTTGACCAAAATTACAAGTTGAACTCTGAAGCACCAGTATTGTTTTTATTTAGCGCGAAAACGTCACAAAACGCAATAGCAAAGCTGCAAACATTGTGTGCAATTATTTCCGCGACTTCGTGCCTGTGAGTCGAGACCTTTACGCTGTGCTGCTTCATGAAAAGTTTCAGGAAGTCGTTTGGCAAACCTCGAAAGAACATTTAGTTTAGCGTTTTACACCACCTGCATCGTTGTGCACTTCACTGCAAATTGCTGGGCTTTCCTATTAATACTGTTAGTTTGCGACAAAAACACCGCTGTACTATAACCTCTCGAGGACCATCTTGGTTGAGTGAAGTATGCTGAGCACTTGCAGATGATTTGGAAGTTGTTATTCGTCTCTGAAAGTGCATCCAAGTAGTCCACGAATATTGAGAGCTATCAAATCAAGATATAGACGAATTTTCTTCGGTGTGATTGCGTGCACCATTTCGTACGCTTTCTCGCCTAACAGCGCCCCATGAGTTCTGCGACCTCGCGCTGTATCATTTCAATGAACACTAACTTGGGGCTACCGCCTTCCCTCCTTCATAGGCTTAGGCTTGGAGACTTATCCTTCCCTTTAGCCCGTTCGGAGCTGAGTGAGCCTCGCTATTTCACCTTTCAAAGCACTAGCTCTCGGCAAGACCATGACGGAATGTTCAAGCAATCACATCACCTCCAAAGTGTGGAAATCTAGCGTAGGACGGTGCCGGTTACGTAACCGGTGGAAAACTGTATGCCGGGTGTGCCTTACTCGTCCGGGCGTTTTTACTCGTGAAGACTATTCCCTTGGTGAGAAAGCGAACAGAAAGCTCTTCTTGTTTTGTTTCACCAGATTTGCAACGGACGTTATGATAAGGTAGGTATGTGAGCGAAAATAAGAGCCCAAGGGAGTAGAAAGAGCCCAAGAGTGCGATCCAGGAGAGAACAGCGACCGGTCATATTTACGAATACCTATTTTGCAAAAATTTAAGCTATTTCGTAGCTTTTGTAAGAACTGCAGCGTGATGCAGATCATCTCAGTTACTAATGTGTAGAACTGGTGTTCATATCCACCGGGCACACAACTTTCCATTACCAGCAGATACTCACTCTAGGTCAAGTTGTGTACTCACCCAAGGTCCGCTTGTCTTCTATTCCGGCTTTGTGTAAAGTTGACGATCTGGCTGTCATATGCTTAACCTTTTGACGAAATGTGTATTTGCACATAGCGGGCTCATGGGACCACGTCTCTTTTTGGTGTGCTCAAGTTTCGCTCAACATCGGATAAAATTGCTCCTAAAACAGTTGTTCTGTCAAGTTTTCGACTTTAAAGATGTACTGGACATGACTGCAAATTCAATTTTTCATCTTCTTCATTGTTTCGGAAAGAATGGAAAGTTTGGAAGGGGAACTTAGATTGGAGAGGGATGGAGGGAAGAACTGTAGAATTTAGTAGGTACCGTAAAAAATTTTGGTCCAGTTTAGGCCGATGTCAGACTTTGCGAATCGCGCGATTCGCTACTAGCGATTCGCGCGATTCGCTAGCGTCCGCGGTCGCGTTGCGGTACCAGCCAATTGAGTGATTCACTGGCCGCGACGCGACCGCAGACGCTAGCGAATCGCGCGATTCGCAAAGTCTGACATCGGCCTTAACTCCCTCCATGTATGTAAAGACTGCAAAAAGGCTGAAGAAGCTTCAACAGGTAATTAATCTTGTGCCTAATCATGCAAAATTCATTCTACTTTACTGTTGAGATAAACGCCACGCTCGAATTTTGTATCAAATATCTCATGTTGAAAATACCTGTGAATCATGCTAGACAGAGATTTTGTGAAGCCCGCTTATAGTTGCTGGTTTTTTAGAAATGTGTTAAATTCACAAATAAAAAATTTTCAAGGTGATTCCTACCGTTGGGTGCTATTGTTCCACGCTATAGACGGCATGGCACCCACTGGTGGGTGACATTGTCGCCAAAGGGTTAAAGACGCGTTATTCGACAAGTTATGAATAGCTTATCTAATTTCAAGATAACATCAAATTTTATTTTCTTAAGCAGAAGGTCAGTGGAAGTCCTAACACGAAGGATCAGTTAGAACCGCTTGATATGAGTAGAAAACGAGCGTATTGCTCTGATGAAGAAGTGCCGAGGAGTGAAGAATCGGATGAAGAAATGGAGTTCTGAACTCCGGTGAGATTTTTATCCACTTATCTGTAGAAAATTCCATTTCTGGAATTTCTTTAGTATTACTAACTTGTTTATGTTGATCATCTCCTTACCTTTCCCAGAAAGTGTCATGTATTTGTGTTGGAAAGTATTTATTTAACCATATAACATTGTTACGAATTGTAACCAACTTACTAACCCCCTATCTCGTGCTACTGTGGTTTAATGCCATGAGGCTATGGAATTCTCTATGAAACAAATTTTTGATTGATCTGCAATACATGTTACTATCAAAATACGGCTCGTCAATTTGCATTATTGCAACTGTTAAATCCGAGGATTCTCATTGGATGTCCTACTCGCGATTGTTATTTTTTTTGTACAAAATGATGTCTCTTGTAAATTTTATCTTTGCCATAGTTGGTCCTGAAGAAGGTTGGCATGTCTGAACGCAGAGATACGAATTTAAAGAGACGCTAACTTTTCACCAACTTTGTATTGATCAGTGCGCAGTCTATTTGTCTCTTTAGCACAGTCCACTGCACTGCAGGTGATTATTTATTCACTTATAGTCCACTCTCGAAGTCTGATTGGGCGTGTCACCGGAAATGACGTGGCAGCCACCGCACTTGATAGAAGTTGCGCGGATAAGCTGCTTCCAACACGCTTTGCTGATATCTGGCGGAGTATTTTATCCACACAACATCTATCAAGTGCGGTGGCTGCCACGTCATTTCCGGTGACACGCCCAATCAGACTTCGAGATATGGACTGTATTTAGGATCCACTGTGGTATCGATCAAAATTGATAGCAGGTATCTTTCATGTCGAATAGGTGCTTGTTTGAGTTTTGAACTTTTCATGTGTAAGTGCTTGCATTGTTCATATCTGATGGAAAAGTTTATGGATGTCCATTATCAGTTTTTCATGTTGTCATTTTGTGAGAAATATGCGGCATTGTCGCTGCTGTTAATGTTATAAAATTGTGTATCTGGTTGTTTTGAGTTGATGAAAAGGATAACGTCAGCTATAAGAATCGTTTTGAGTGTTGCCTTGCTGTGTGCAGCCCTAGTTTTTGCTCCATTTTGTATAGGTAGGATGTACGCGTGGTTGTGGTTGGTTGACTTTGCTCGGTAGCCATTTGGATGCAGCCTTGACTAGATTCCGTTCATTTCAAAGATATGGATCTTC